ATATGTTGGCAAAAGTTTCAAGTGCCAAGCGATTGGCAAAAGAGAAAGAAGTCAGGTTTTTCTCATCTCATAAACGTCGTTCAAAGACTCGACGACAATAACAAATTTTTGTCTATTATTTCAACCATTTATTAATATATATTTATATTTATAAAATCTCTTTTTGTTTTGTAACATTCTCTTTTGAAATTGACAAAGATTGAAGGTTTTCTTTTTTTTTTTCTCACTCGCGTATTCTCGGTCGAGTGAATTTGGTGTTCCGGGTGGTGGTCACCGGAAGTTCTTTCGACTCGAATCCTCTCTTCTTCTTCTTCTTCTTCTTCTTTCCTTCTTGCACGCCTCTCCCTCACCCTCTCCCTCACCCTCACCCTCACCCTCACCTTGTTTTTCTTTCTACCCTCCAATTGGTCGTTCGTTTCTTCGCACTTTCTTACGCACGCGTGATTTCTTACGTCAGGATTGGAATCTCTGGAGAAGGTAATTCGATTTTATGGACCGTCGCTTGATATCAAGAAAACCCATTAAAAAAGTCTTCAAGGGGAATATGTATTCGCTTTTTTTCCTTCATCATAAAATTACAATTCTTATTGTTTTATAAGAATCAGCTTGTGACAATAATCATTGCATAATCTATTTCTTCAAATCTATTTATCTTTCTGTCTCACTGAAAGATGTCCTTTTTGAATATTTTATTAAGTAACAGAGAAAAGACAACAAACATTTCTTTCTTTCTACCTATCTAGTTATTTTATTTTCATGTATTTTCTATTAATCTTTTAATTTTCTTTCCTCTAACTATTTCGCAAAATATTAAGATGAAACAAATTAACTGAAGATGATTTCTTTCGGAGTTATATAAGTAGAAACAACAAACAACAAACATTGTGACACTGAATTTTTATATATCTTCTTTAATATATATATATATATATATATATATAAATTACGTGTGCACTCGTAACGTTGTTTACTCGTAAACTACTGAACAACCGATTTGAACAAAAATTTAGCACACTGTGTGCAGTTTCATCCAACTTGAAAGATACGATAGTTTATATCTCCTCAATTTATAATTGCAATAAAGCGGTATAAGGTAATTCGTTAACTTAAAAACGTGTGTGTATCGGACTATATATCATAACAATTTATATAATCATAGTAAGTGTTACGCGATAAAGTCTAATATAAATTATTATCTAATGTCTTTAGAAAAATGATTTTAGAGATGAGAATTATAAATAAAACAATATAACAGATAAAGTGTTAATATTGGAAGAAAATTCTAAAATACGTGAAAAAATGTATAGATTTGTAATTAAAATTCAACCAAAATAAACGGTAATCCGATAAATAATTAATTTAATATTTAACACGGGAGCAACGTATGATCTACGACACATGCGGTTTAATATCGTTATCACGAGGGTATGTAACATCGGTTTCTTCGTACGAGCATATGTGTGCACGTTAAAAAGAAATTACTATGTATCTGGGTCGTCGCTCGGTCGTAGTCGAGTTAACGTGAGAAGAAAATCTTGATAAAGAATTACTGAATTAGTGTGGTAATCAAACAACTCAATCGAATCGATTTTTTATTTTCAACAGTTCTATATTTAAAAATAAACTAGAATGTAATAAATGTATAAATAAATACGTATTATTAAATGAAATAAACGATAACGGATACTTAAATTCAACGAGATTGTTCTATGAACATAATGGATATTGTAAAAAGTATGAAATAAAAGGTAGAGAAAGCAAATGACATAAAAGAATTATGACTGGACCAAATGAAATATATTAAACCGTAACTATCTCTTATCTTGGACAATTTAAAAGCCGTTTCACTGGCTAAGGCCATTGTTCTCAATCGTTCTACTATATAACTACAGGTGCATTGCGTAATGCTATTGCAAGTTAATCTAGACTATTACTTACAGCGATGCAATTCTAAAGAAAATCCGTTGCCACATTCCAACGATGATTGAACGATTACCTGAAAGATGCAATCAAATCTTATATTTAATTACAATTTTGATCATAATCTTTTGAAAAAAGTTAAATGACAAGTTGAGTCCAAGTTTAATCTATATATTTTAAGTTTAAAAAGAAAATAAAAACAAAATAAAAACAAATTCGATTAAGATCAGTTCAGAGCAGTTTCACAGTTATTTGTAGACTAAATATTAATAGTTGATACTTGTGGATTATCTTCTTGTTTTATTTTATCCTACTTTCGTGATTCCTTTTCTTTTTTCGTCAAATCCGTTCTTCTTTCTCATTTCAACGAATAGAACAATAATATTAGGTTAGATCGTACGTGTCCACCCACAGACAATGTTCTACGCAAATTCTCAGTGGCAAAGGTCAAGCTCGTTATCGTACTTCAGATTCGTCATAAATGACGTCACATTCCTCTACTCGTTTAGTAACGTTCGTCATAAAAAGAAAAAAGAAAAAAACATCATCAAGCTAATTTCGTGAAATCTTGAAGAAACGAAAGAATATTTACGATCACGACGTATAACACATATTCTTTCTTGTCACGTTTGCATCGTTGAAAGAATCCTAATGAAAAACAAAAACCTAATTACGTGCTACTTTTCTTACGACGAGGACAAAATATATATCGATATCATTTTCTAATGTATTTAGAAGCTACTAGACAACGTTTTCTTTTTTTCTTTTTTTCTTTTTTTCTTTTTTTCTTTTTTCAAATCGTAAGAATTATTGGATAAAACGATGATAATAAGGAAAAATCGTTTAGATTAATCAAACAAATTGGATTATATCACTAATTACGTATAAATTAAACGGAAGAATTTATTAACCGTATAAAAAAAAAAAAAAAAATGGTTAATACCTTGCAACGAGAAACTCGGTGAAGTAATTTTCTCGGTTCGAATGTGAAAACGAGCCACGGAACAATGCGTTTTTAACATAATTCATGGTGAATACCTAGTTCGCCTATAAGCAAGTAAAACAAGATTTAATGCTCATTTCGAATAGCGTTAGTTCGAATTTTTCTCATCTTCTTCATTTTGCGTCTTGTTTAAATAAGAAATAAGGATTGTTTGTTAGGTCATTAAATAACAAAATAATTATATCTATTAGTTCGAGTCATAAGTAACTTCCGTACAATCTATTTTTCGTATTGACCTACTATAAGTCACCGAAACTTCTTAAATGGATAATAGTAAAAAGTGCATATTCGACATGTAATGCTTTAAGAATTGAAACAAGGCAATAGCACTAAGGTGCCAACTGAAAAAATATGCAGTGTATACAGTGCAGGACTGATAATCACTGATAGGGCAGTCAGAAATTGGTGGTTTGTGAAATTCCGTTCTCAAGATACGATCTTAAAAGATGAACCGAGTGCAGCGACGTATTTCCGACTTTGACGAACCTTTTAAAGGTAATATTGGAGCAAAATCCAATAGATACGTTGAACAATTGCAAAGGTTGCAAAAAAAAAAAACTGCATGAAAGGTGTCTTCGCCATTCTTTGTCTCATCAAAAACGGACAGTTATTTATGACTCGACCTAATATTTAAAAATAATATTTTAACACAATGCCACAAGCCTTTTTTACCTGACTTGTCATTCAGGCCATTTAATTGTGCTTGAACAAAATCAACCACATTACACATGTAATTATTAATTATTATAAATATAACAATTAAAACAAACATATAAATGCTTTATTTGATATTATGCTTATAATATTTTATTAGAAATATTTTTGTACAAAATGAAATTTGTTATAAACATATATTTTCATCATTAGCATTAAATAAATCTATCAGCACCGGTGGTACACGTGGCATGGAACATGTTAACAAAAAAAAACAAGTTTATTTTATAGCTATAATATTTCCATGAATGAACAAATCTTGACGTTTCGTCGAAATATTACAAAATAATTAAACAAAATGACATCCCGGTCGGAGGAAACTTCTGTACTATTAATTAACAATAACAATGATTCGCAACGTTTATAATCATAAACTAAGATATCTTATCGCGATAGTAAAAAATGGAAAACACTGATAATAGAAACCGTTACTAACACGAATGTAACTTTAACGCAACCGAGTCAATTCGAGATATCGGTCTATACTCACGAACGTGTATTATATGTAATAACCGAGATATCAGCAATGAGAGGAAACCATTGTTAGAATTTCATTTCTACACAAACTACCTCGTAGATTACAAATATTTATATTACTCTTTATATGATTTTTTTATACTTGACCGAATATACAGGTCACTTATATAATATATAGTATGTTAATATATAGTTATGTATATATAAATTACGTGTGTGTCACGTTGTTTGTCCGCAATGGACTCGTAAACTACTGAACCGATTTTAATCAAATTTAGCACACTGTGTGCAGTTTCATCCAACTTGAAAGATACGATAGTTTATATCTCCTCAATTTATAATCGCAATATTATTTTATTAATCGCGAATTATTTGTTTATTAACAAAGATTGATCATGATTATCTCTGTTAGTTCGATAAGATTCTAACAGATGGCGGTATAATGTGTGTATATATATATATATATATATGATTGTCCAATAAAATAATTGATTTGTTTGGACTTTGGCCATTTTCAAAATAAACAGTTTAATTATTTATTATACATATCGGATAGTAAGTTGATGAATCATTCTCTTACATGCATACGTATGCCTTCCGTTTATTTTATCGACACACCTGCGCCTTTCGGTCTCCTCCTCTTAATTAAGTAAACAGTCGTCCCTTCTCGGTACAAGTCGCGAAGGAACCGGAAGTACAGTAGCAAAGAATGAATCCTTGCTATTTAATATTCCTTCTACGTTACGAGTGAGTGTGGCATTTTACAACATATCCTATTCCTATAATACATATTTATGATCTATTATTGTATCGTGTATATACGCAATTATCCATCTAACACAAGAAAATAATTATTATTAATTATATTATTTCTTTTTATTTACAGCTGGTTCAGCCGCAGAGAGTGGTTATTTTGGACCATGGAGACAATGTAAGATACTTTTATATCAACGAGAAAGATGTGGCCAAGGTGTATCAAGGTTTCAACCAGTCTGTAAGTATTTTTCCTATCCCCCATAACTATCCCTACCTATGGTTATGGTTATGGTCAAATATATTTCATCGAATATTATATTAATGTTTGATAGTGGCTGTGTGGGTTGCTGGATTGGCTGCCGCTGCTGCCTCCGCGTTACTCGCTCTATTGGTTGGCCTTGCCGTACTTCAACTCGCCATGGCCTCATCAGCAAAGAAGGTTGTCATTTCGTATAGCACTGCCCTTATCGGCAAGGTCGCCTTAGCAACCTTGGCAAGTGAGTATAAAAAAAGATCCTAACACTAAACCTAACACGCAAGATCAAACAAACCGCTCCTACCTGTGTCATTTCTATAGAATCAAAGTTAATCTTTTTAAATCCTTTTATTTTTCTTCGTCATCCGATTGGCTAAAATATCATATAAATATCATATTTCTTTTTTAAAACAACGAATTTAATCCTTTGGAATAAATAAAACAGTACAAGTATAGAGTGAAGGATTTATAACAATAGATTATTAAAAGATACATTTCCGGTGTTTCAAGCAAAGATCAAATGTAAATTTATCATTTTAAGAAGATTTTAAGAAGATTGTAAGAGAGAAGCGTGGCCTTGATAGTGGAATAAAGGAAGCATCGTGAATTCGAAAATGCGCATTCGAGTAGAGAAATCCCTTTTTCCGTTCTTACTTCTTTCGAGAATCGTTTGATAATCCACCGGATACGCTAGAATTACTAGTCTCTCTTGTGCTCCTTAGTGGCCTACTTACCCGTACTTCAAGAGAATCGAATATCTATGATAGATCTTATTACAGTAATATGATATTTTCTAATGTCATAGAATCAACTACGTTTTTGCTTTTTATAGTTGTTTTGTTTTTTTTTTTTTCATCTTCTCTCAACTATCCATATATTATAATGATTAAATGTCAAAATATAAGACGACAATTTGTGATTGTTTTTTCTTCTTCTTTTTTTCCAGCGTCATTGGCCATCGTAGCTGCGAGTTTATTTGCTTTGCAAACGGATGACAGAGCAAACAGTTTTGTTATCACAAGAGGAGAGGCTTTTTATATGCAGGTAAGATATTGTAACAACATTTTTCATAAAAAAACCAAAATAAATGTGATAACAGATTGGACACAAAATACGACGTAGTAGTAGTGTCCAAGTATTACCATAGTAAGTTTTGTTTTCTTTTTTATCGAACCCACATACCCACACGTATACTTAGGTAGGTAGACACATAGGCATTACCGTTATTCCAAAGTCGTTTGCTCATAACACGCAACAAGGAAGAAAGAACGTATAGCAGTAGTAATGCAACGAGTAGTAATGCAGTAGTCCCGCATAGAAGGGATTCTCGTTTTGTCATTTCTCTCAGCTTTAATAGAACCTGTTGCGCCTATCGGACGGACGGAAGAAAACCGTTCGTTGATCTATCCTTTTCTCCTCTACACCTGTAGAAGGAAAAGAGAAACAGAGAGAGAATGAGTAAGATGGGGGATGCTGTTGCTGCTGCTGCTGCTGCCGCTAAGTGTGGTAGTATCTTCCTTATATACCTGTTGCAAGACTGATGCTTCCGCTAGGATATGCTAAATCATTCATCACAAATATTTCTTCGACGTTACCCACCTGTTAATCTTTAAATATGATTGCACCTTTTTCACTGTTCAATCAATCTTCAATTTGTTTTTTCTATTTTCGACAATGAAACCTTTTCAAAGTACATTTATTGATTACACATTACATTTCTGATATGGTATTTTTCAACAGCCTGTTCTAATGAATTACATTGCTAAGAGTAGCAATATCCTCCCATGAAATGAGTTATCGCACGAGTTACGATTGTTTTTTAACAATTTGACATGAATGAAAGCATGAAATACTTAAAAGCCACTTGATCATGGCCAAGGATGCAACGAAGATTGCGACGAAGACGACGATTCGTTTGCAGGTGTTCTTTAAGCTTGTCCTCGAAGGGGACAGCAGGAGGAGGATTGGGGAATAGGGGGAGGGAGCAAAGAACGTTTAGTATGTGTGAGAGCAGTCATGAGTCGTGAACACTTTAAAAACAATGAGACGACATTGACGATCCCGCAGTGAACGTTTCGATTTCGTACCGTCTACGAGCTCCTCCTTCAATTTTCTCAAACTTTTTTTCAAGTGAAAATTTCTGTAGAATAATCAGGGTGATTTGAAAATTGTGTGAAACGGAAGAACGTGTGAAACCGATAAAACAAAAATAATTAATTAATTAATCACACACAAATTCTATATATGTATAAAAATTCAGTGTCGCAATATGTTTGTCCATCTAATAATTCCGAAACTATTTCAACTATTTTATTTCACGTGATTTTTTCCAACCTGGCACAATTTTTTATTACTAATTGAAAGATTTTTATTTAAAGGTTATCTAGGTTCTGTAAGGTTCTTTCAATAGTATTGTTCACTGTATTACAATTCAATTATTTTAAAGCTTGCTTTTCTTTGAAGCAACAACACACTTCTACCGTGTGTGATCTGCACACATCTGTTTTTTTTTTAATAATTAAGTGCAGTGATGTTGCGTCGTCAATTAAGAAAAAAAATTATAATTAAGAATAAATAAATTATAATTTTTGGTTTGTACATTTTATTGTTAAAACTTAGTGCGATCGTGCAATTAGAAAAGATTTAGTATTGATTTTTTGAGATGACAAAATAAGAGAGGAAAATCGTATTTGAAAAAAATCGATATATCGATTGTATGTATACGTCGTGTATAGTTGTTTCGTATGATCACAAGAACATACGTAATTATCTTTAGACATCAAACTTATGATCGTGATGTTGGAGTTACATCACGGTGGTGTTGGTGGTGGTGGTAGTTTTGTTAGTATGACGGGAAGGAGAAGACGTAGTCTTTTGAAAGGTGCCAAGGACGAGATTGAATTGGATAGAAGGAACAAGCAAAAACAGGGCAAGGTAAAGGTCATTTTCTACATCATGCTTGAAACGTGAAAATCAAACGGAGAGGATGAAAATTGCTCATGACCTTGAACGTAGTCTCAAAGAGATAACAAGAAACGTAGAAATTAACTAAAGAGAAAGACAAAACGTCGTCTATAGTTTTCTTTCACTCAAACAGAAGAATTGTTCATGCATGATGAATCATTAGAGATTCATGTTCGTTTCTTAGAAATGAATGGTGTTTTTTTTTTATTTTGAACACGCGTCAATGTGCTATACGTGAGAAAATATTTTTTTCTTCTCAAGTACATATTTACGTATATATCTTCTTTAATATATATAAATTACGTGTGTGTCACATTGTTTGTCCGTAATGGACTCGTAAACTATTGAACCGATTTGAATAAAATTTAGCACACTGTGTGCAGTTTCATCCAACTTGAAAGATACAATAGTTTATATCTCCTCAATTTATAAACGCAATAAGGCATTAATTTCGGTAGGCAGGTAATTCGTGAGCCACAGCTAGGGCACCCACAGCTAGGGCACCCACACTAGGGCACCCACACTAGGGCACCCCTAGTATATATTCTATTTTTTTTTTAAAGCTTATCAGTCGTAAGACACGTGGTAATTGTTTGCCTTGGTTTCTTATTATTTACGCAAAGATGATTTTAATGAAGGAAAAAGTATAACATTGAATTATTAATTATTACGTAAAAACAACAATAGTTTGATATTTTCTTTGTTTATTTGCTAATTAAATTGCATCATGTCACTTCATTTAATTTCTGTCTCTCTTTTTTTTCTCTACTTTTCTCATTCAAGATTATTTGTTGTATACGCGCGTATATGTCACATCAAATTATTCATTCGATTAGTTAGAAAATTTCAACAACGTGCAAACGATGTGTTTGAACAATACCTAACAAATAGAGAATCGGATTTTGTAATTGACACGATCTGTGAAAAGAACATTTCAATAAAAACTTTAATGCGAGGGTAACTTCAAATCAATGAAATAATTATTCGCTGATTGTAAATGAATTTCTTTTTTTTTTTTTTTTGTTGAAAAATATGTTTTCAGTAAGAATGAATAAAAAAGAAAAAATAATGATTGTAAAATAAAAATCGATGTATGATGTGAAAAAAATGATTTCACATTACAGTTAGCAGCCATTGCCTTGAACTTTGGCGTACTCGTTTCTGCTGTTTACGAGGGAATTTACGCCAGAAGGGGTGGCGACCCTACAAAGATAAGGGCCATCCCTGATCCTCGAGCAGCTACCATAAATAATCCAGGATATCGAGAACACCATCGACCGACAAATGGTATGTGTTTTATTTTACCATTTTTCTAACTTTATATACGATATGTCGTCTTACAACTTTTATTATTGTTATTATTATTATTATAATTATTATTATTGTGTTTAAATATAATTTTCGAATTACAAAAATATATTGACTTTAATGTATTTTTCTTTTTTTTTTAATTAAAAACTAAGTAGTTACGTAACTTTAAAGTAGTTAGAAAAAGGAAAGACATTTTCTGAATACCAAATAAGAATAACAAAAGGAAAAAGGAATGTTGAAGTTTATGAAATTAAAAAAAAAAAGAACTAAATTCCGATGGAAAGTAGTAAAGATGACGAGATTTTTCTCGTCAGAGAGAGAGAGAGAGAGAGAGAGAGAGAGAAATTGTGAAAATGCCCCTACGGCAGGCAACCCTTCCTACTGCGCGAACCTTTACCATATGATGCACCTATTATACCACCTACATATATATACTACGTAAAAAGTAAAAAAAATAAAGAGAAAAAGAGTGAAATTCTGAAAAAACCCTTTGCAGCATGACAAACCTTCGTACAGCACGAAAATTGAACACACATGCATCGTACACTTACATATACATGTATATGCTCGTATAATAAATTACGGTGTCTATAGAAATTTACGTGTATGTAAAGAGAAACGTTGAATTACAGGTACTCATAGTTACACAACTACAGTTGTTGGTGTTGTACAAACAAAACATCACAGACAAAGTAAATAAACAATATATTCATTTATCTCTTAACAAATGCAACATGTTTTTTTAAACATTCAACAAAGCGCTTTTTATTTCTTTATCTCTCTCTCTCTCTCTCTCTCTCTCTCATTTAATTTGTTTACAGAATTTGCTCAATTACATTTAGAAATTAGGTAAAGTTAAAATGAAAAAAATGTGGAACGACCATGAAGATGATTCGAATTTCGAAATGTATTTGTGATTGTCGTAGGTGGTAGTATTTCAATGACGGATGCAAGTGGTAAACCATATGTAGGAGGTGATGCCGGAAATGGTTCGATGGCATCCGTTGCAACGTCAGGAAGTGCAACTAGTGCTGCATCTCCTTTGAGAAGTTCATTGAAGAAGCCAAAACCTCTAGGAATTCATAATCCAGGATTTTCAGCGCATAGTCCGACGTTGTCGAGGAATGGTTCGCAAAAGAAGGTTCGTATTCAAACGCATTCAACAGAAGTCTAAAGAGAACAACGTTATTTGAGTTTTCTTCTTGACAAGCAACTAAATTAATTCGTCCATGAAGAAGAAGAAGAAGAAAAAGAAGAAGAAGAAGAAGAAAACGAAATAAAAACAAACAAAAAAACTGTGATGGACTAAAAGAAAAAAAAATCATGGAAATTATTTGTTATTTTATTAACATGACCGAACGTGTAAAATAATATATATTTTAACGATATTATTGCATTTTTAATTGTTTGTTAATATAAATGTAGATTTGTCAAGAAAATTTTCCGATCAAACATCGGTAAGGTAGGTTTCTTTTGCTTTGGTTGTGAAACTGAACGCGTGGTGATATAAAACGAATACATTCATATACATATATATATAGAAATATATAGAAATATAATTCTATATTATTCCGAATTAAATTAGTTCATTAAGATAAATATTAATTATTGTAATTTAATGACGTAGAAATATGAATTTTGTTTCATTGTTAATTTCACGCGAGTTGTAAAAATACATTAATGTATTTAGCACGAAAAATGATTTGTTAATTAATTTGATTAAATACCATTTAGGTAAAACCGATTGTTAATTCTATATACGTAGGTTGGAACTTAAATAGTGGCAACTATTTATTCACAACCGATACAAAAGAGTTAGTGCCTGTATGCACCTGTTACTTGTTTGTTACTGTTGTACTGTTTGTCCTATACTGTTAGCACTCTGTTGATGGTGCGAATGGAGCGATGCACTTGGAGCGCATCTGATGAGCGCATCTGATGAGCGCACTGGATGAGACATGGCAGTAGATCGCTCCTCCATTCGCACCATCAACTCTGCTAACTCTGCTGCTCTGCTAACATGTAACTCTTTTGTATCGGTTGTGAATAAATTAGTTGCCATTATTTAAGTTTCAACCTACGTACATATATACATGTATATGTATATACTTATATATGTATAGCGCGTTATTATTTTTTATTTGCAAATAAGAAGGAAAAAGAAAGACAAAAAATGTTAAGAGATCGTAGAAACAATTAGAAAATGATTGTAAAAGCAATTTTATATTGAAGAAACGTAGTCTTTCGATTGAATTGTTTTTAATGTAATTATATTCAATGAATTAGCACGACTTTGAAAGTTCATTAAAAATGACTTATTGTATCACATCCGTCCAGCCCTAAAAAGGCAGCTAAGTATACATAGCGAGATATGTAGTATATTGTATACACACATCAAAATATAAATATATATAAATATATATATATACTTATATTTTTTAGTGATTGTTTGTAATACAGAGTAGTTGAAAAGTTTTTGTTGGTAATGTTTCAAAATCAATGACTATTTTTCGAGAGACATTTCACACTTGTAATTTGACTTATAGTTTAAGAAATGGAACTGGTATTTTTACGGAAGATAAAAAAACATTATTTAAAATATTTCTGGAAAAAGAGAAATTGATTTTTAAATTTACCTAATCAACTTTTGATTTAACTAGGAACCTTTTGAACATCTTCTATATATACACATGTAGATATATATAGATACGTATGTACTCAGTTGGATTTTTATGAAAATATCCTCCAGAGTTTATTATTATTAACAGAGATATATCGTAGATGATGATGATTTTAAGTGATTTTAAGTTACCCTTCTCCCTCCGTCTCTTTAGAAACATAAAATATTAGTTTTGTCCTCATTATGGTATATTATTATAATTATTATTATATAATTATTGTTATTATTTCTACTCTGTTTTTTTTCGAGCTCGTACCTTTAATTAAAAAAAAAAAAAAAAGAAAAAGACAATTGTTTGCACTAATTTTAGATTTTTTTATTCGGAAAATAAATAGCAAAAAAAAGAGAGAGAGAGAAAGAGAGAGCAGGTCTCACGAAAAATATCCTCATCGCAATAATGTTCAATTATTATTATTATTATTATTATTATTATTATTATTACTAATATTATTTTTTATTACTTTAAGAGTATTATTATTATTATTATTATTATTGTCACATTTTCTGCAAAACTGCAATTTTTCTTCACTTTTGTTTACGTTCTTCCACATCATACTCTCGCATAGATATTTAAAAAATGGAAGGAAAACTAGAAATGAAGTCGATTGTATAAAAGAAAAAAAAAAAAATCAAATGTTGTCCGCACACACTTTGCTAATTATTATTATTATTATTATTATTATTATTATTACTCGAGAAATGAGCATCTCTTTTTTAAATAATTGATATTAATTCGATGTATAATTATACATATACATACGTATTGTAATATTTTTACATTTGCACATTAAAAACTGTGGCAAATAACAAAGAGAAAAAACCAGAGAAGAGAATTAAAGAAATAAATGAATTTCAGACAAAAATTGTCGGTTTAAAAAGTTTCTTTAAAAAAAATTAATATAAAATTCCTTTTTTTCTTTACTAATTAATTATACAAATGTATAATAATAAATTGTACTTTATGCCTGACGATATGCAATTTTCCATACGTTTTGTGTAAAAATGTTAGTCTATGTAAAGGGGTTGCTGCCAAATTTCTTACCTGTCAGACAACTACATATTCCCAAACTGTATTACCGACGTATAAAGAGTTGCCTATTTTAAGGTGCATTCAGATTATTTTTATAATTATTGTCATGTGCTTTTTTTTTATCATAAAAAATTACTATGTAATATTGTCTTAAATCTGTAAACAAATGTCCCTTATTTTAATTGGACAGGATTTATATTCTCATGGATGATTATTATTATTATTAATTTATATACACAATGTGGTAAAAAAATTAATCTTCATTTATTAGCTTAAAGATTGAAAAAAAAAAGAAGAAGAAGAAGAAGAAGAAGAGAAAGATAAAGAAAAGCTACTAGACGTCGACATTATTGATCGAAAAACATTTTCGTTCAATAAAAATTTGTTCAGAAAAATTTGTCGATTTGTTTCATGTCCCTTGGTCACGTTTTTAACCATAGACATTATATTTATTATTTTACTATTTTTCCACATAATTCCATTTCCATGATAATTATCTAAGACGAATCTACTGAATATCTTAATAAATAAATAAAAGTAATCCTTTTCGTTAATCTCATACGTCTCAATAAATCACGCGACGATCGATTGAAACAAAATTAAAACAAAAGGACAATTTTATCTTTTTTACAAATAATTAATTAATTAAAGTATAAAGCAAGGAAATAAGAAATAGACATAGATAGATAGAGAGAGAGAGAGAGAGAAAGAGAAAATTTGAGCATAGTCAACACAGTCACGGAGATCTTTGTATTCGAGGAACACTTAGCCAGGCCAGACCTGATATAGGCAGTAAAACAGAGTCTTAGCGTGTATCTACTTAAATCGAGTAAAAGATGATAGAAATCTAATTAAAATCCTTTTCACATTCCTCCTTCTAGCCTCACCTTCCTCCTATAAAATCGTTCGTATGAAAAGACGACTTTAGATATTTATAAAATGAGGATGAGGAGTTGACAATTTCAAAAGTAATTTTCACGTCCCTTAGGTGCACTCGAGATCAATTCTCGTCGTTTCCAAACAGGTTGGACGACACCTGTCGAGCCACGTGGATTTTGCGTTGTCGCAATGACCGAACTCGATGCCGTCGTAGATGACATCGTCATCGATGACGTAACCGTCATCGTCGTTGTCTTCCCAGCGAGCGTTTCCAAGTCCGGTATATGACGAGTTTGATGCCTCGAATCGGTGTAACGTCTTTTAGTATATTTCTTGCTCTCCGACGTACTCGTCGTAGACATTGAACTTGTTACCACGCTCGATTTACTATGTTGAAGGTTTGCCGAAACTCGATCCGACCTATTAATGTGTAGCATCCTTTCAATATCTGCCGTTTTAGACCTGCAATTATACGTGGTAATATTTGTCATGTAATTATTACAAATATATGATGGGATTTGATAGTTTGTCAAGTGTTATGTTGATAAGTTTACCTCAAAACAGCTCCACCTATACTCGTGATGCTAGGCGTGTAAGGGGTAGCGCTACTTCTACCAACTTCTTGATTACTACCCCTTGAAACTTGCCTAACCTCGCTGGACGTGGTAAAGGAGACCCTCTGCAAGACAGCTTGTTGATCAGGAATATACGAGACAGCCGTGACAGCACTGTCAGGGCTAGCAGGAGGCGTGGAAGCCCAAGAGGGTGGAGAACTCGGTACTTGGTCGCCTGACAAGGTTGCCGATGAGCCAACTGCGCTATCGCTACCATGCCGACCACCTGGTTATCGTATGAGAACATTATACAATATAAACAAGCTTTTACATATTACCAATTTGAAAGAATTTAGAACGAACCTTCGCTACAACCAGATATCGAACGTTGCCTTTGTCTTCTTGGTGGTGCACTAGGTTGTTTAGGCGTTTCCTCGATATAAGGAATGTCTGGATCATCGAGGTTCAACGTGAACGCTCCAGACATTGGTATAGTTAAGCTAGCCGTAATCACCATTGGGGAAGATCTTCTACGAGGATCGGTTGGATCCTCGCTAGATCCACTGTCGACGCTGTTACTTCTTCCTTCTTCTTTTCTACGAGATCCTGGCCTTTTCGGACGACGCGGCCTTGGACCAATATCACCACCCACGCCAGCCGTTTGATGCAAACATTCTTCTCGCGTCCAAACCTTGAAAAATAAACAAATCAACAATTACTTTCTTATCGGTATAAACATAAGAAATATTTCTATTTGAAATAAATGTACTTTTCTCGTTGTCGTTGTTGCCGGAGTTGACGTATTCCCAGATGTTGCAACAGTTTCTTCGACTGAAAAATTTTCTGCTTCGCTACATGGATCAACCTCGTCTCCGCATTGTCTGTGGAGAAGAATAATATATCTTAGTTTTATATTATACTAGGGGTGCCCTAGTGTGGGTGCCTAGCTATGGCTCACAAATTACCTGCCTACCGAAATTAATGCCTTATTGCGTTTATAAATTGAGGAGATATAAACTATCGTATCTTTCAAGTTGGATGAAACTGCACACAGTGTGCTAAATTTTTGTTCAAATCGGTTCAGTAGTTTACGAGTAAACAACGTAACACGTAATTTATATATATATATATTAAGATTAAATGATGAACTTATTAAA